TATATATATATACATAATTAGTAAAATTATTTGTATATAGAAGTTATATTACATTCGTGCTTACACCATAATAATTTATAAATAAAAATATTATCTTGATAAAAAAATATTATCAATATTATTATTATTATCATTATTATCAAAATATTATCATGTTCCTCGAATTTTTTTATCTCTCTGTGGATTGTTTGTTAATTTCCAAGATTTATATATACATTAATTACTATTTATTAGGACTTTAATAATTGAACAATTATTGTAAATAATTATATATTTGTACAGAGATTTCAATAAAATTGTATTTTAATTAAAAGTAAATATTTAATAAAACATTTTCATAGTATTTCTATAATATTGTTATTAGATATATATCCTCTTTTTGATTGTATCGATTGCCTTTCAAATTAGAGCCCGCGCACAACCAGCAATATGGCGATCTTTTAGTCATCAGATCAAAGGTGCCGACACCGAGTGAGCCTACTGTTCTTTCTTATATTGTGCTTATACTGTGCTTATACTGTGCCCGAAGGTAGCCTTCAGAACACGAGATACGAGGACGCAGCGCACGATCGAGTCGCGAACGTTTCGCGTGATACGCAAACTAGATTTGACGGTCCTCGTGGCAGTTGCTCCGCAAAAAGATCGATCGGATTAAACAATTTACGAAATATTTATGTGAAAACGCAATCGTACACATGGTCTCGGTGATGCAGCCATATATGGTGAGTTCGATGGCGTATTGGATTTGGATTCGTACGGGGCCTCCGGTAAATGGTCGTTTGACATTCCAACAGATCTCGTAGAATTCTATTATTACTATTACTCGTAAGGTAAAATTACATCACGATCTTCTCACGATCTTACAGGACATCGAGAGTTCGAGGAGTTATATCGATGAACTATATTCACCAGATCCGCAGAAATGTCTGGAGGCGATTATGTGAGTGTAAATTGCACTTAACCTTAAGGATATAACGTAATTTGTTTCCTTCAATCAAAAATTCTTTTGCCTAATATATAAAAATTGTATTAACTTTTAATACATGGATATTTTCTCTTTTTTTCAGTTGCCTCAAGAATTCGGTGATTGGCAGCAACAGACAAAAGGGTTCGGTTATAGCTCAGGGGGTGGTGCCTCGGCTTTTGCAACTGCTCGGAGATACATCTGGTACTATAGGCGATCGTGTAAGATTAGAATCTGCGGTAACGTTAGGCTCTTTAGCCAAAGGCACAGACCAGCACGTATTGGCGCTTGTAGATTTAGGTGTAGTTCCGTTGCTTCTTCAAGTCTTGCTTTCCGCGCCGATTCCTGAGATCTCTATGGATGGCAAGACGAAGGTATTGGACCAATTGAACGAAGCCTGTTTGCGATGTCTACGTACAGTGTTCCAGCATGCAGCAGCGCCAGTTCATTCGATTTACCAAGATCCCGCATTAGTACCACGATTGTTGTCCTTAGCTAGTCGATCGGTTACTTGTCAAGTCTGTGTCGCGACAATTTTGACTACAGCATGTAAGGTAAAGAGATAACAAAACTTGTGAAGCAAAAAAAAATATTACAGTCACGAGGAAACTAATTTACAAAATTGCTTATTAGACAACAGAGGAACAAAACGCTCTATCCAAAGGCGGAGCAGTAGAAACGTTAGCGATGCAATTGGATTCCCCTCTGTCCGACATTCAATTACCAGCTCTGGCCTGCTTAGCAAATATGTGTTACCAGAATCATATGGTATCCGTTATGGTCGCATCAGCCAGCACAAACAATACCGTCCATGGTAGATTGGTACCTGTGGCATTAGGTCAATTAATGGGACGTGAAAAGAGCTCGTTGATACAGCTCGAAGCGGCAAGATGCATCGCGTACATGCATAGAGCCGGCGCATTGCCATCTACCGATCCGCGAGTGGTGTATCGCGCATTACCCTGTCTCGTTCGATTATGTCATCGAGATCGACCACCGCGCGAGAGAGTTGCCGCGGCCGAGACACTTGCGTATCTTACCGAAGTTGATACAGATCTGCAACGTTTAGCATCTATCAGTAATCATCTGATACCGACACTGGCAGAGTTACTAAGACCACATCCACAAGTAATCCACAATTATACTATAATATATATTATTTTTATAATGGTGTTCATGTAAAAATGTGTATGGTATTTTTTTTGTTCCAGGTTCAGGATGCAACATTAACACAAGATATGCGACAAGCCGCGTTTAGAGCATTCGCATCTCTCGGTGCTAACGATGAAGACATTCGAAAGCGTATTATTGAAACAGAAAGTCTTATGGAGCAAGTTGTCTCTGGTCTTCAGGATCCCGGCGGATCCCGCGTTCGTTTAGCCGCGGTTAGATGTTTACACTCTCTTTCGAGGAGCGTGCAACAGCTTCGCACTACGTTTCAGGATCATGCAGTATGGAGGCCGCTTATGCAGTTATTACATGGAGCAGACAAGGGGTTGGAGGGTAAAATATGATAATACATTTACAATAAGCATATTACAGATTATACTATAATAGACATTGACAGACATTAATGAACATGTATCTTGCATGCATATATTGCATGTAAGATACAGCATAGTATATTTAGTCTTAAATTTCGAACTAACAATTTAATCAAAAAGAAAGAAAAAACCCAATATTGAAAAGAAGTATTCATGTACATTGTAAATTATTCTTTCTTTATTCTATATAAGAGCCAAGAGAACTGTAGTTGAATAAAAATACACGTATCAAAAAAGTTCGTCACCTTTTAAATTTTTTTGTTAAAAGTGGTCATATTAACATTTTGCAAAGAAGCAAGCAATCTAGTGCAAGTATTTCCAGGTACAGCAAAATTGACATGATATGTGAATTTAGAATGGAGCGACGTATTTTTTTTTATGCGTGTAGATGAAAACAATGAATACATCCCTATTCTCTTTTCTCTATCTGCATTGTAAGATCATTTTTCCAAAAAAAGAAAAGGAATAAAGAAATCAATGCTTATAATTAGCTGTTATTATTAGTATTCAATCGCCGACTATGAGTTACTATTAATATTGTTATAATTATTGTACTATAGGTAGAGGCGAAGGTGAAGGTGATTTATTAACTGTTGCCTCGAGTACTTTATGTAATTTACTATTGGAGTTTAGTCCGAGCAAAGAACCAATTCTCGAATCCGGGGGAGTGGAGTTGTTGTGTTCTCTCACTAAACGACCCGAATCGGCACTCCGACTGAATGGTATTTGGGCCCTAATGAACGTGGCTTTTCAAGCGGAGCAACGTGTAAAGTCGCAAATACTCTCGTGCCTGGGCACCGATCAGATTTTTCGCCTTCTGGCCGATCCAGAGTTGAGCGTATTGATGAAAACGCTGGGGCTGTTACGAAACTTGCTCTCTACTAAGGCTCACATAGATCGTATAATGGGCGAGCATGCCACTCACGTCATGCAAGCGGTTATCTTAGTACTGGAAGATCCGGAACATCCAGCGGATGTCAAGGAGCAAGCGCTTTGTATTTTAGCAAATGTCGCTGACGGTGACCGAGCTAGAGATCACATTATGGCTAATGATGACGTGCTTAAGAAACTCATGGATTATATGGTTCGTATAGTGTATTGTTATATTTTAATATTTTATTGCTTCCATTAATAGAGCTTCTTTTTGGATTCTACGAATAAGCCGGCGTTGCTCATACTTATGGACGGTTGTTTTATTAATAGGGTGGAATAACATTAAAACAATTTTGCTTTGATTGCTATAAACTCGGTGATATCAAATGTGTGTACTAAATCGATGAAAAACATTCGCATTTTATCTATTAATTTAACTTGAATATTCTATCTATTAATTTAATAATTATCTCTTGAATGTCGATTTCGATTGTACATGTGTATATATATATATATATATATATATATATATATATATCCGCTACGGTGCGATCGATGCACATGACTGAATAGCGGGGAAACGACACGCATACATACATATGTATGTACATAAATCTACATATATCGTATTCTAGTATCGAGCATACCGTTTTGTATCACTCGAAAGA